TTTTTTTGATGCCTATTTAGTTTTTGTTGATGCCTATTTAGTTTTTTTGAAGGCCTCTCCCGAGACTGAGTCACCCAATTGGAAACAAGCTCCAGAGCGGTCTGAAAAAAAACCGACGGAGAGAGAGACAGAGAGAGCAAGAAGAGCCAGGGAAGATGTGTTAGTCTGTTAGCACAAAAGAGGCAAGCACCATTTTTCCCCCCCCTCTCAGCCTGCCTGACTCGCCAATAGTGCTTGGTTTGCAAGCCCGAGCTTCGCAGCAGAAGAATGCAAACCGGCCCCATCAACGGCAGCATGTCGTGCAGTGTGGGTGTCAAGCATGAGGGCCACAGAACTGAGAGGCGTGGCTGACGAACTCGAGATATACTCTGTCATCTCCCGAGCTTCCACTGGCAGCCACAGCGCAACGTGCATCCAAGGTTACCCAGGCAGCTTTCATCGGTGAACCCCTTGTGATTGGCAGCCGCATGATTCCATTCTCGAGCAGCTCAATATCACCATGCTGACGAACTATGTCCGAAGCTTCGACCGGCGGGTCGACAGGTGCAGACTGCAGAGATGCAGCCTCTCGGCACTTGAGAGGTCCCAAGGCTTTCCAGCAGCTGCCGTGACCTCCAGGGAGGTAGAACTGCAATAGTGGCTCCCCTGCAGCTCGTGCTGACAAGGTCACCCATCCTGACATTCCCATCCGATAGACCGGCATTCGGAGGGTCTTTCCATGTTCCTGGCACGGGCCAGTCTGCAAGACGACCGTCCCTTGAGACAGCCGTGCCACCTCAGCGGACTCCAGACCCACCTCACTCCTCACAATGACCGTCTTGTCCACTTGCCATAGACACCCAGCACATCCGGGGCTGAAGAACAGAATCCCGTTTGCGCAAGCCCTGGCATCGAGAGTAACCCACGCACTGCTTCCGACTGTGGCCACCTTCATGCGAAGCAGCCCATTCCCGAGGCGAATGCAGCTATCGATCTGGAGCACTGTGTCGCCCTGTGAAAGTGGTTGGCCCACCTGGGCGGAGTCCAAATGAGGACTTTCTTTCGCTTTGATGTTGTCCCGAAGAGCCTCCCAGAGGACTCCCTGACGACTCAGCTCCAAAACGGACGGCCAGCCCTCGTCAACGGCCGTCCCTGTCACGCTCGTACTGTCGGGAGCCTCTGGTCCGCTGGGCCACTGGTGTTCGGCGGAGCTCTGCGGAGGCCAAGTATAGCCAGCGTAGCCAGCATAGCTGCTGTCCCACGCTTGGCTTGCTGTTGCTGGGGATGCAGCGTCATCTTCACCGTCCTCGTCACTGCCCTGGCTGGCGCCCAGCGCCACCGTGAAGCCAAGACTCCGCTTCCTGGGGCCCGAGGTACCGGCCGAGAGTGCCTCTAGGGCTTCTGTGGCCATCTGCCCCGTCAAGCCGTCTACTTCCAGGATCATAGAACCCTCGACGACTTCCAGGTCGAACTGCCGAGCCCACACATTCCACCGCTCCAGCACCGAGCCCGGCTCCACGCCCAGAACCCTCGCACGCTCCGGTGCGCGCCGGCTCGCACCCGCGGAAGCACAGAAGCCCGGCTCCTCGCCTGGCTCCAGCTGGAGCCGCACGAAGAAGCCCTCTAGGCGGCTCTGCGATGCCAGATGCTTCTGCGGATCTTCCTTTTTGTCCTGGTGCATCGTGCTCTCCAAGTGGCCATCTTCGGCAAAGCGGTCACACAAACTGCAGTAGGCATGCGGATATCCGTCGCGTAGCCGCGCCCTCATCCAGCCCACTGCCTTCTGCTCCTGGCCAAACCCAATGCTCATGGTCTTTGCTGCCCCCCTCTCTTTCACTCTGCTTATAACGGGGCCATGAATTCGTCACGAGGGCTCAGCGTGTGCTTGTAGCAGCTTTGACACTAGGCTGCCCCTTGCTCTTCTATCGACAACAGTCCACACCCTTTTCGCTTTGGGACTTGTCAAAACGTCTGTGAGGCATGAGCTTGACTTCTTCTGCAAATCACAGAGGTCTTCTCTATCTCTTCCCTGCAATACTTAGCTGCTGAGATCATAAGCACAAAAAAAGTGTACACTTTCAGTTCTAAGCGGGAGCATACTCTCCCAAAAATTTTAAAGTGTACTCATTCAGCTACTAAGAATACTCAATCAACATGAGCTTGGCCTTCGACGTGAACGAACTGCAGACAAAACCAAACAAGCGGGAGTCCTCCCATGCCGCTCTTTGCAGATCCGTCCACAGCATGTCCGGTGTTGCCGGTGGATCAATTGGCTGAGGCTTCGGAGGCTCAGCCGGTGTCGGGGTCAAGGCTGGGAGGACCCATGCTCGCGATCGAGCAAATGCCAGGAGATCGCGCCAGACATTGCCTGTCATGTGTGTGAAATTGCCCTGGTCGAACTCCACACGAGAGACAGATATTAGCAGCAATGTGCTGTCGGAGCACCCTTGGACTGTCCACGATACAGGGTCTCCATGTCACCAATGATCCAAACATTCCGCTTGGCTCTAGTGACGGCCACGTTCCTGCGGAACCACTCGGGGCAAACGAAGCAAAGGCCTGCGCAAGAACGTGAGGATGGGCGTGCAGCTGAGTCGCAATCGCCGCTCGTCGGCATTGAAACCTATACTGCCGCCAGACCTGCAACAGGCTACGGGGAGCCACGTCGAAGGCCACATGTCATCAGGTATGCAGGTCAGTCCTCACGGTGGAGATAATGATGAGATCACGCCTGGTTCACGTGTGATAATCGATGCCCTACCATAGCCATCACATCTGCATGCAGCAAGGTCGCTCGTTTCCTTGGAAGCCATCGACTGTTGCCACTGATGTGTTGGCACGCACGCGTTCGTGGGCTTTCTGCAGAAGGTGTTGAAGCAGCTCCACTTGAGCCCGATAAGGTGTGATGATACCGACAGTGGTCCCAATGTCTGGATGGCACTCTCGGAAGAATTTGTGTAGATGCTTCATGAGGAAGTCTGCTTCACCAAGGTTGCGAAACGAGAACCTCACCTGGTCGCAAGCTTCTGCCAAGCATGACGCACTCACTTGCGCAGAACTCAGATCTACCTCGAAAACAATCGCCTGTTCCTCTGGCCAGCCCTCCCTGGAAGTGTCCATCCTTGGGAGAGAGTGTGCTGTGATCAAAACTCTCCGGCACTGATTTAGTTGCATCTGGCCGACAGCCTGAAAGGACCATGTCGGTGTTGGTCAAGAGGAGACCAACTATCTGGATCCGGATCCGTACGGGTCTCCCTTTGCAGCACGCTGTCTGCCGTGCGGATTCTGCCACCCTGGGAAAGGTTTGAAGGCCGAGGGGATGCTTTAAAATGCAACACAAAATCAGCCTTCCAGGTCCAGCAAGCAAACGGTCCAATGCTGCAGGCAAGATGCATAAAAGCATTCGTTGGACCAGCACAATATTGGCGGATCCATGCGGTACTGCTCCTCCAGGAGGTCTGCCTTCGTGCCGGTCTGCTCAAGGCGCTCAAACCTCAACAAGCTCCAAGCTCCAAAGGAACTGACAAAAAGTAGCAAAGTTCATACTGTATCCAAGACACATGGAACGAGCATAGAGAGCCTGCTTGGCCAATGGTGAAGACACTGTCGACGGAAGCTGACGAGGGTCGCCCACCAAGAAAAGTCGCTGCACCCAACTTCTGAGAGCAAGCAGCGTTTCGGCCTCGCATGCCTGGCACGCCTCGTCAATGAGCACCGTTGGTATCTGCTGTCCACATACCGTTGCCCGCCCTGCCACCGTAAGGGTACAGAAGACAAGCGCAGCTCTCCGCAGGAGCGCTCCTTTGAGAAAGGAAGATTCTGCGGTCCGCACCGCCGTGCAAGCCGAAAGCAGCTCGATGTGAGCTTCCGTGCAAGCTTCCAAGGCCTCCACTGTCGCCTCCGAGAGCCAAGCCCGCAGATGCTCGTCGACGTTTACCACAAACCCGTGGCTGGCCGGGGTGCCAGCGCCACCAGGGTGGGTGTCCTGGGATGTAGGGACTGGACAACGCAGGGACTTCCGCACCGCTTCCATCGCCTTCTCCAAATCCTGGAAAGCCCCGGTGGCGACAAGCCTCATGTCTGGGGATGCCTTGTCCGGGTGCAGCAGAAGCTTGAGCCGCTTCTCAGCAGTAGCCAAGGCCTCCTCCGTTACCGTAGCAACCGGGGACGCATCCAGGCCGAGAAGCTCTGTCAACCCTTCCAGAGCCTTGGCTTTGGCATCAGCCTCACCTTGCACGACCCACTGCACAAAGGAGTAGGCTTTCTTTCGGTCCAGAACCATGTTGGGCTGGTCGCCACTGCTCTCGCCTTTGCCTGTGCTGACACCCTGGCCCGGACTTGCCACGGGCAGGTCCAACCAGTCCTCGGCGGCAAGCTTCGGCTCCCATCCTTCCACGAGTTCTGTGAGCCTCTGCCGGAAAGACTCAAGCTGATCGCGCAGCGTCACGAGCTTGCCGAAGACCTGCCCTTCGGCCGCGAGCCTCCTCCGCTCCTGCTTGGAGCAGAGGAAAGGACAGAACTCCTGGGTCTTAAAGGCAACCTCTCTGTGGAGCTTTTCCTGATGGTTTTGGACCATCTGCAAGATGTCCTTGAGCTTCTGATGCACGAAGTCCAGCAGGCTCACAACCTGCACTCTGCCTTGGCCTTGCTTCACATTCCCCTTGCTGCCCTTGCTCTGGTAGAGGCGAGCAAAAGCCTGAAGAGGCTTGCAGAGCAGCAGGGCGAAGCAGGAGTTGCCAGCTTCGTAGGCCCAATCAGGCTGGCGGAGATGCGGCTTGGCCTTCCCAAAGCCTTCTCCAAGCCAAAAGCGAGCGATGCGTTTCACCCGCTTCTTTCGGTGGTCGAGCAGTACGGCCGCGACCCGCTCTTCAGACCCACGCAGCTCGTCAGACCATTCTACGTTCGCACGATCTTGCGTTGCAACCAAGGCCACCTGGGCGGTCATCGACACAAGCGCACTCGCATGCTCAACTTAACTTCCCATCCTTGACTGTCATTGGGCAGAACGGGGCTCAGCAAGAGCACCACACCTTGAATTTTTGTCATGCATCCCTGTCATCATCCCCTACAACATTCGACACAGCTACATCCCACAAAGACATGCGTACCGTCACGTACACCTGCCCATAGCCTAGGAAGCCGCCGTGTGGGTGTTTGTTGTGGCTAATTAGATAGCAACAGCCGGTTTCCTTAGATTTTCGTCAAGAACAACGAGTGTTGCAGCCTTGCATATCTCACCCTCCACTCTTCTTTATCCAGTCCGCCTGACACCAATGTTCTGGCCGAATGCGCTCCAGCAATCGTCGCAGGACCTCTTGCACCGCGATGTTCGTCGGCGCGCACACGAGGCAACGATTTGCGTGGCGCCGCCTCATGTCAACATCTGGTGGCTCCGGCTCGGGCGGGCTGTGCTTCTGGAACCGATTCTTCCTCTTCTTCTTGGGTGCCGGCCTGCAGTTCTGCAAGGACATGTCAACATGAGCAAACATGTCCGTAAACCTGCTGGCGAGCTGCTTGGAGTCCTCCGTCTCCTCCCTGGTGCTGAGTGCCAGTTTCGCACACTGCTCCAAGAGCACAGCCAAGGTATGTGTCTTCCCAGTGCCTGTTTGGAGTTGGGGTGTATAGTGTAGAGTCTAGACTCTACATCACAAAAGGGCACAGCACTAGAGTCGTTGGAGTTTCGCTGCCTGGTGGTCCTTGAACCAGACGAACTCCATGGGCACAATCGACCAGATTGTGTACTGCACTGGCCTGGGAGAAGTTCAATCCCATTTCCTGTAAGTCTGCAACTGTCAGGCCAGATCGCATCGCAGCGCATTGGGCTTCAGATGTCCCGCCGAAGGTGCTGACGTCATTTTCGGGCTGACCAGAGATTTCACGCTGCCAAAATATCGGGTGGTGACCAGCGGGGTTGGCCAGCGCGGTTCCAACACGGATGGATGTCAACGCGTTGCAAGACAGCACGGCCAGTCTCCACTTCCGGGGCTTGCCTTCAACCACCAATCGCACCCCCGCCGCCGAAGCCTCCTGCGATAGCGGATCACTGTCCCAGCCTTCAACTTCTCGGACCAGCTGTCCTGACCGAATGCCCACCTGCCACGCCTTCCCTCCATGGGTGACGTCACCAATCAGCCAGACACCCTCTAAGCTTGGGCTCTCGATCAGCTCTATATCCGCTTTCGCTTCTGCACAGCCTCCGGGGTATTCAACCTTGAACACATCATTGGCTTCACAAGGGGGCAGGTGCTTGTCTTGCGAGATGAGGACCAGAGCATGCTTACTCTTCGGAGTAGTGTGGAGAAGGCCCAGTCTGTAGCAACCTGACAGGCCAAGGGAAACTGAACACGAGAAGTGGTGGATGGGAAGCCGCCACGCCTCCAGGACGGACTTTCAACGGCAACGCCTGTCTGGTCAACTCGTCTTCAGGACCAGTGCCGGGAAGGGCGATATCTTTCGTGATAGAACCATCCTTCATCGTGGGTGCCACGCAGACCGACTAAGTAGACATAACATCGGAAGACATGACAGCAGGTAAAGCAGGTAAAGGACAAGGGCCTCGAACAGCAGGCACATTTGGCCAGGAGCGCACTTTGCGCAGAGTGCACTCTTCACACGATCCCCTCCAGCCAGTATCAGCATTACCTCTTCGGAGTCCGACTCCTGCACAAGAGACTTGATGGCGTCACAGCAACAACGACTTCAGAGTTTCGGCCTCTCCTTTCTTGCGAGGTTTCCGTGTCACGGCTGACTAGTTGCCCTCATTCTTGGGGTTGCTCGGAGATGCAGCCAAGCGACGGGAAACCAGGGAGGCATTCTAGGAACGCCTTCGCTCTTCATGGTTTCCTGAGCAACCTGGCCAGCGGGACCGTTAATCCTCACGGCTTGACATCACAGAGGGGACGCAAGCGAGACAAAGAGTTGAGGAGGAAAGGGGAGAGAGTTGCGGCGAAACTTGTGTAAACATGTCGAATCAACATCTGCTAGAACCTCCGACAACCTGCACTGACCCAGTTGGCAGCAATTCAGCGAATGGCTGCCAACTACAAGAAGTGAGTTGAGGCAGCCTCCAAAGGCACCAAGCGGACTTCCTCCGCAGCATCCAGGTCCAGCTCGAAGGGATCCAGAGATTTCTTCAGATCTTCACGCAGCTCCTGGCAGCGACTGGGTTGGAGTCACCGTTCGCTTCAAGGCCAGGCATAAACCAGGAAGGAAGAGAAAGAGAGCTTTCATCGGGGCATCTGTTCTGGAACTCTCCTTTTCGCGCTTGTGTGACAAGGAGGCAAGCGCGAAATGCCTGTAATCACTTTCGGCACACCTGCACAGCACACAGCAATCGTGGCCTCGAGCATGGGCAATGCGAAGCTGCGCCTTGCAAAACAAGCTTCGACTTGCAACACCCTCGTGAAACCCCACGCATTTGGGGAATACCGAAACTTGGCGTGCTTATGCCGAGGCTCAGGTACTCGTACAAGTTGCAGAAGGTCTCTGGAATGGGCGTCTGGACCGTCAGCTCGCTTGCATGGGGGGATCGCAGCAAGTCCCGAGCAGTAACGGATGCTGATACGGAGTACCTCCAGTGCGCCTCCGGCGCTTCCAAGGCATCAAGCTGCCTAGTGATCAGGAATCGCGAAACGTGCGGCCCACTCAAAACCACACAGTTATCCTCCATCTCCAGTTCCTCGCTGTCTTGGTCCGAATCACCACTGGCTCTGTCTTCCATTTCCTCCATGTCATCGTTCTCCCCACCCTCGCCCTCTTGTTCGCCTTGAAGTTCTTCCAAGGCCTTGACCATCGTCTCGGGTCTTGGAGCACGTTCGAAGCCCGTCTGCTCCTGCACTTGCTCGACGGAGCCTTCCAGGGAATAGAAAAAAGTCTCCTCCCTGCACCGGCCGATCATTTCCGATGTCGACCGAATCTGGGCCCTGCGACCCCTCCAGAGGCCCGTTGTCCATCGCTTCCAGAAACCCCAGGCCTGTGCAGCTCGCTCATCTGCGACCCGAACTCTGATGGTGGCACCCTCTGCGGGCCGCCTTTGCTGAAACAGACGGAAAACAGCCAGACGTCGGTTGGCCATTGTCCAGAACTGCCCCTCTGTCCAATACACCTCCACGATTGGGATGTCCGTTTTAGGCTTCCCTTGCAGGAGCTCATTCAAAGTAGCTGCGATACTCGTCCCATCTTTGAAATGCGAAGAAATCGAAAAGTGAGAAAAGCCGATCTCATTCGGCGAAAGCTCAATTTCGGTACCTGCCTCATAAGGGCACGGAGCAAATGACTTCTTCAACGTGTCTCTGTCAAGTGTGTCTGGCTCAAAGGATAAAGGCAGAAAAATCGACTCGAGAAAGGGCAGCGAACGATGCGAAGACCCTCCGCGGTGCAGTCGAAGCCGTGCATCTCTCAGTGCTTGCGCAAACTGAGTGAACTCATCGTCTTCTTGTGTCTGCAGCAGGTCTGACGCCACTTCCAGCTGTTTCAAGAACAGATATGTTCTTCGCAAGACCCGTGCCAGAATCCCATCAAATTCAGACCCCCCAGCTGCATCACTGCACTTCTCGAAGTTCTCCTGCTTCATCCAGCGTAAGACGGGATCAACAAAGCCAGCTCGCTTTCGAAGCTGCTGCACTTCAAGCTTCGGAGCTGGATGTGGAATCTTGCCTTACGCATTTCTAGACAAGACCATGCACGATTACAGCCCTACAGAATTAACGACCTAAGAGTCATGCAATTTCACTGGGCGGAGCCGCCTAAGTCTTTCCTCTTCGACAGGCTGCATAGGTTCAAGTCACGTGAGATCTCTTCCGACGTTGTTTCACACCAGGTCCAGTAAGGATCGAAGTCTCTGCCGGTCACAACCTCCCAAGCCACGCATGAAACTACACGAAAGCAGCATTCGGTACAGTAGCAACAAGCAGGACGCGTGTTTGTTTGTGACCAAAACCGCATGCGGCCTCCTCCTCTTCCTCAAGATCGTTCACGAAACAGCTCAAGAAGGCAACAAGGTGGTCGGCCAGCTCCCCGGTGCGGAGGTCCAAAGGCATCTGCCAAATCCTGGCCACTGCGTCGTCAATCATCAGTTAGATACAAGTACTGTGTTGCAGGGAGAAGCTTGTGAAGGCCCCAAAACCGGAATTGCGTCCTGAAGCTCAACAACGGCGATGTGGGCACTTGGAGGTTGGCACAAGCACTGCCCAACCGCGTCAGTCGCAGGCCGTCGTGAAGAAGACCCTGTCGACTCAGAACTGCAAGTTTCTTGCTGAGTTCTTCTTGGAAAACCAGCTCATCGGTCTTTTTCGTCTCGAACTGTTTAAAGCTCTGCATCAGCAGCAATGTAAGAACCCCTCCCCCAGAACGGAGGCAACGAAGGATCAAGGAGAAGCTCACAGTGAATTTGCTTTCAACTGGCTCGGCCCTGCCAGCAACAAGCCTCTGCACGAAGTTGGGTTCAACCTGCTGCGTCATCATGCTCCAAGCATTCCCTTGGGTGTCCTGGCCGCGTCGACCTGCCCTCCCGGCCATCTGCATGTACTCGCCGCACCGGATGGGCCGCTGTTCACTTCCATCGAACTTCTTGAACTCGCTGCCCCGGGGCCAATTGAAGATCACAGCTCGGCTCGGCATGTTCACCCCCACAGCGAAGGTCTCGGTCGTGCAAAGGACTCGGACAAAGCCTTCCTAGCAAACGATGCAAAATGATGCAAAACAAGCTTCCAAACTGCCACTTGAAATACGCGGCACTTCTCTCCTTGAAGAGCTTCTCCGTAAGCTCGCGCAAGACCGGCAGCAGCCCGCCGTGGTGAAGGCCCACGCCCCTGCAAACAGGCGGCTGAAACCACGCTAGCCTCTTCCAAGCAAGATCCCCAATCTCCCCACATGTCTACATCTTAACGGCCATCTCATGCATCATTATGTATCCATCCATGCTAATCTATCCTGAACCGCCTGCTCAGCAGGAATTCGCACTCTCGAACGGAGCGCAAACTGCGATCTTGCTCTGCCAACTGCTTCTCCACGACTTCCCGCACTTGAGCACGCACCGTCCTGCAAGGCACTGCATGTGTGGGCTGGGCATTGGGGCGCGGCCCCTGACCTTGTCAGGGCTTGCCGAAGCCGCACTGAAGGTGCCAACTTCCGTGCCATCACAGCAGCCTCTCGTCTGGAGAAGCAGAAAATGATCAGCGGCATCTGCTTGCTGGACCTAAACAAAACGCGGGCCACAACATTGCTTCAGCTTCGGTAGTGGAATGTTTATACATTGCAGGCCAGGGCCGTGTTGAAAGGATGCAAAAAAAAATTACCGACATCGCCACGCAGCCTGCAGACCTCAGTTGCTAACGGCCCGCTGCTAGCACGGAGCAGCACGAATGCTACCCATTTTTTTTTTTCCACACGCTTTTTTCCGCCTGCCAAAGAAGTCTCTTTGCTCCTACCGGAGCCGCCGCTGAACCCAGCTGCAGCTGCCCCTTCGC